CCACGTCAGGATATCTTTCTCGTGACGCTCAAGTTGTCGCTCCTCACCGCCATACCAGGCTTCTATTTCCACCAATGCTGCTTGAAAGGCGCCTGTTCCGTCCATAATGTCCTGGACGAGTTCCTCGGCACTCCCTCCGGCGAGTGACTCTCTCAGTCTCGCCATCTTGTAGTGCTCAGTTGTGTGGGGGTCTGTTCCCACCAAACTCATGAATTTCTGTCTCCAAGGGACATAGTTCACTGGCGCTCCGTCAAACTGCGGTAGCTTCAACGGCTTCAAATGGGATCTGTATGTCCCGGCATGAGGGTAAGCAGCTGGTGATGTATATGGACGTTGTCCATCTGGCTGACTATACTGCGTAGCCAACTGACTCTGTGCAGCTGCTGGTGCACTTTGCTGTACATAATATGGCGTGTAGAAAGTTGCAGGATTCGCAGCTGGTGATGTATATGGACGTTGTCCATCTGGCTGACTATACTGCGTAGACAACTGACTCTGTGCAGCTGCTGGTGCACTTTGCTGCTGTACATACGGTGAGTAGAAAGTAGTTGCAGGATTCTGGCTGCTGGCTGTGGGTCTGGCTGATTGACCTCTTGCACTCACTACTCTGGCCTGTCCAAGCTGGCTAGGCACTTTCTGCTGGACTGTGTAGCTACTTGGCTGCACTTGAGATGTCACAGCAGGGTGATACTTCTGGTTAGCTGCTGTCTGATACTGTGGGCCTTGGGGCAGTTGTGGCTTCAGACTACAGTCCATTCAGAAAAAGATGGGCTCTGGCTCTGGCGAGCTCCCGTATTTGGCGATTTTTCGTGATTTCATTGTACACAGTGCAGTGCTGCGAAATTTGAACTTTGAAAAAGAGTCCAAAAAGGGTACCTGAACTGGGGTTCGAATCCCACAATGCACTGTTGCAGGCAGGGTCAAACGGCCTGGATTTTGATGGTTTTTTCCAATTCAATGCTTCTGGGGCAAAACCTGGCCGATATCCTATTCTTGTTATGGCTTGCTTTTTGGACAAATAGACTTCAGAAACATAATTGGAAGAGGATTCCATAGGGGATTGCAGAAAAAAATTCTAAAAAAACTCAAAGTTTGACCCATTTATGGCCAAAAGCTAGAAGTTCATCTTTTTCTGAATGGACTGTAGTTGTGGTGAATGGTGCAAAGCTGGACTGCACAGTGACCATCTTTCCTGGTCTGTGTTGTGCGTTGTTACTAGTATTAGCCACAGCTACTGCAGGCGCGTAGCACCGCCGTTGGCAGTGGTGCGGCCGGGGGGATCTCCCCCCCGTAATGTTTTTGAAATTAGGGTGCAAAATCCTGCATTCTGGGCACTTTTGGCATTGTTTTACTATGGTGGTCGTGGTCGGGCGAAAAAGTGGTCCGGCCAAAGCCGGACCGGCCGGAGCGGCTGCTACGCCCCTGTACTGGGGCAAAACTGTTACTCTGCAACACAGGATTCACTGCACTATCACCAGACATACCTGGATGTACTTGACTGCCGTTAGCGCTGTCGCTGCTCACTGGACCATCAATGACAATGGACTGTGCATGTGTCACTGTGGATGGCAGTCCGTCACTTCGACCAGCTTCCACTTCCACCGTTTTGGTCTTACTTGGTAGCCAGCTCTGGGGACTTCTTCGTTCCACATCCACAGCACTCATGCATGGAGGCAGACTACCAGCTGGTGTTTGTCTTGGCTTGGCCGGCTGGATGTCAACTGCGTCCACCACGCTGAAGGCGCGCCCTGCTCTCCCAGACTCTGCGCTGGTAATTTTGAGCTTCTCAAGGAGTTGATGATGGCGCACGAGTGCTTCTGTCGTGAGCCCTTGTCCAACACCTGCGTGGGACAGTCTCCGTGCACTTTCATCTCTCCGACTCCTGCGGCTGCTCGCGGTGGAGCCTTTCTCTGAGAGCTCCAACTCCAGCGCTGCTCTGTCTGCAGCCAATCGCTTGGTCACCAACTCTCTGTTGAGTTCCAATCTCTTTTCGACCGCCTCAGCCTCCAGCTGGACTAATTCCTCAGCAGCTTGCAACTCGCTCTCGCGTATCCTGGCCGCGAGTTCCAGTTCGGCTTCCTTACTGGATTTCTTGGAAACTTGGGAGACACTATCCCACTCTCCATATCGCGAAGGAGGCTTACCCTTCGTCGACCTGACGCTCGTTCTTTTTTCCATCGACTCCGATTACTGCCTCGGACTCGGATCCGGCTCGAAGGACCAGTTGTTCGGTCACGGAATCTGGACTCCAAAGAAGACTGTATTTATTCCCGTAGCTATGCAGAAGACGTTACTTCAGTAACGTCTGGCGCTAGCCAGGGTCCACACAGCTTTAATTCCCGTAGCTATGCAGAAGACGTTACTTCAGTAACGTCTGGCGCTAGCCAGGGTCCACACAGCTTTAATTTGGTATTTGTTTGTTTGTGTGTTTGTTTGTTTGTTTGTGTCACGCCTGGCGCTATCCCGTATCTGTCCCGTATCTGTCCCGTATCTGTGACTACAAAGGCTCTACAGGATTGTACATAACAGCTGTCCACAATATTTGCGGGCTCCTGTATCTGTCCCGTACCGTACCAATATTCGTCGTATTATGTATACGACTCCCTGATGTAGAGGGAGATTTGGAAAGAAATAGGAAGACGAGGAGGAAATTAAATTAGAATAGACGCCGAACAGGTGATAGGATGCGTCAGCATAAACAGCGTCAGCATAAACATACATGTACTTTGGAAGAGAGATCGCGTCGTCTCCAAAATAAGCGTGAACGAGCGATTCAGCGCCGGTCACAGGAAACGTCGGAAGAGAGATCCCGTCGACTCCAGAACGCCCGTGATCGGCAGAGTCCGCCGGTCCCAGGCAACGTCAGGACAGACATCCCGTTGAGTCCAGAACGCCCGTGATCGGCAGAGTCTAAGCTGGTCCCAGGAAACGTCAGGACAGACATCCTGTCGAGTCCAGAACGCCCGTGATCGGCAGAGTCAGCGCCGGTCCCAGTGAACGTCAGGACAGACATCCCGTCGACGCGCAGAAAAACTAAATCTGCAGCCTCTTTTGCCGTCGGACAGGATACGTATTATAGGAGACTGTAAAGTTATGATTGTAATGTCCAAATTTCCACGTGAGCAGCAGGTCACTCGCGTTGATTTTTCGACGTGCGAGCCAAATAACGCGAGCTGAACTTTCGCGTCGCAGACATCCCGTCGACGCGCTGAATAACTAAATCTGCAGACTCTTTTGCCGTCGGACAGGATACGTATTTTAGGAGACTGCTAAGTTATGTAATGTGCTCCACAGGCAACCATGCATTCGGCGTCGTCATTGGCTCAACAGGTCAATGTACATGTATTACTACAAAAAGGCCAGAAAATCCGATTACTGTATTAAAATCAACTAATTTTCGCTGGCGATTTAATTTCGCTGATTTCGCCGCTTGGTACCAACCGGCCAAAGTAAATCACAGGGCAAAGTTTGTCATAATATATAGGAAATTGATGCATTATTGAGCAATGGATGCATGTGAGAGCAAAAATACCTATCGATTTCTAATTTGACGTGAAATTGCGCGTCACGTCGGAAATAACGTGCATTTTAACCTCTCTAATAGAGAGGTTTCTATTTCTCATCAGCCAAAATTTGTTGATTTACAGTATAAGGAGATAAAAAGAAAAGAAGGAGCAAACCAAAAGAAGATGATTATTAGAGAAATAACAATCCGCAATAAATTCTGCAAATACTTTTGCCTCAGTTCTTATAACATGTACGATGAGCTAGGCAAAAAAGCATAAAAGCATAGCGCAGGGCCCTGAGCTTCCAAGCTCTCTCGTTTGGTATTTGTTTGTTTGTGTGTTTGTTTGTTTGTGTCACGCCTGGCGCTATCCGTATCTGACGGCAAAAAAGCATAGGATGTTATAAAATTTTCAATTCTCCTATTTTTTTTTCAGGCATATCCTGGGATTCAAACCCGCACTATCGCCCTACATGCATTCCCCCATACACTTCGCATTCATACCCATTCTTCCAAGTTGCTTCACGTTATTATCTTGCATTTGAAAGCCCTATTTGAATATTGCGGGCAGCTGTATGTGGCCAGCTGTGTTTGATGGTACGGTACGGGAGACGGTGTCGTATTACCCTCGATCGTACCTGTCCCGTACCTATCCCCTGCCGTACCGTGCCATCAAAGACGGCTGGCCACAATGCATATTCAAATAGGGCTTTCAAATGCAAGATCACAATGTGAAACAACTTGGAAGAATTAGTATGTATGCGAAGTGTATCGGGGGAGGCATGCAGGGCGCGCGATAGTGCGGGATCGAATCCCAGGTTATGTCTTAAAACAAAAAGGATTTTTTTAAAGAATTTATAACATCCTTATGCATTTTTTTGTCTAGGTCCTCAAGGCAAAAAAGCATAGCGTAGGGCCGTGAGCTTCCAAGCTCTCTCGTTTCTGTTCTTCGTAACTGAACGAAAACCTCTAGACTAATAGTATGCACACATCATCGTGCCTTGGCACGGACATACCAACTCTGCTGTTTACCTCTCTCCAGGACAAAAAAAAACCCTCCTTTCCAAAGTGAAACTGGTACTATAACAAAAAAGCACAGCTGATAAAGCGAACAGACCTACAGCCAATCAGCAAACCAGTTCCGTCATATGATCCGGCAGGTATTGCATGCCATGCATGTACTAGATTAATGCTACGGTACAGACAATCGCATGTCTAGACACGTCCTAACAGTGTCTAGTCAGTACTAGCATCATGCTCACATGTGCCGGGTCAGCACACAATACATCGACCTAGCAAACGGTAGTCTACGGGATCTACTGGAACAGTCGGTCTGTGATAAGTCACGTCGTGGGGAATGATAAGAACGTTTCTAGATTTGCATTAATGGTGTTTATAATACTTCTGAAGTAACTAAACGCAAATGTGTGTGTGCGTGCATGCGTGCGTGTGTGTGTGTGTGTGTGTGTGTATTTCTATGTTTACCTTCCTTCAGGTCACTTCCTGTATGAGATGCTGCTTGGCCAGGAGTTGAATGTAGCCAAGGCTGAACACCACCACATCTCAGCGGCCCGGAGTAGCTCTCAGGGTGCCCAGGTGTGTTCTTGTGTTGGCAGCTAGGACCGTATGTGTGTGTCCTTGCAAGCCTGGAAATGCTGCCTTTCTCCCTCTTTTCTCTCTCTCTCATTCTCTTTATCTCTCTTTGTCTCTCTCTCATTCTCTTTATCTCTCTTTGTCTCTCTCTCTCTCTCTCTCTCTCTCTCTCTCTCTCTCTCTCTCTCTCTCTCTTTCTCTCTATCTATCTATCTACCTACCTCTGTTCATTTCACTCACGTACACCTTCTCCGGGGGGGATCCTTTTTTCCTATTCTCCGCTTCCTGATATTCGTACATGACATTGAAGCTTTGCCTGCGAAATATTTAAAATCTCTAATCGTAAAATGTTCACTAGCACGTCCTGTTGTTTGAAGTCTTTTATTCTCACGACGGCCTGTGGCCAATGTTGTTGTTGTTGTTGTTGTTGTTGTTGTTGTTGTTGTTGTTGTTGTTGTTGTTGTTGTTGTTGTTGTGTCGGCGTCATTGTTGTTGTTGTTATACTCACTGTTCTTGGCACAACCTCTACCTGGGCCAGTTGTGGGTGCTTTGCCGGTCATGAAGATTTCTTCAGATCCCCCCCCCCCCCCCCCCCCCACACACACACACATACACACGTGTTGCTTTTTCTGTGTGCTTGTCTGTTTTCTCATTGCTCCTGTCGTTGTCCTCCGACGTACCACACAGGTCCTCCGGGACATTTTCCTGCGCTCAGACGGAACATTTCCAAAGTTGGAGGATGTGAGTACACATGTATGCATTTTTGCCTGTGCCCCTTGACGGACTCAGCTTTATCCTTGTTCTGTAGCGATGTAGATCATTGTGAATTTGGTGTCTCTAGATGCTGGACTTTGTTCATGGCATGTACTGGTCATGTCTTCATACCGACATGGAAAGGAGTATGTAAGATTGAGGCAAATGGTGGGGAAGCTGCACTTTTATCGGCATGCAGAAACTCCCAGTGAGAGAACAGCTCTGATCATGTTTCCTCTGCTTCTCTCTCTCTCTCTCTCTCTCTCTCTCTCTCTCTTTCTCTCTCTCTCTTTCTCTCTCTCTCTTTCTCTCTCTCTAGTTCTCTCTCTTTCTCTCTCTCTCTCTCTCTCTCTCCATGTCTCTCTCTCTCTCTCTCTCTCTCTCTCTCTCTCTCTCTCTCTCTCTCTCTCTCTCTCTCTCTCTCTCTCTCTCTCTCCCTCTCCATGTCTCTCTCTCTCTCTCTCTCTCGCTCTCTGTCTCTCTCTCTCTCTCTCTGTCACTTCCCCTAATCAATCTCCTTTTTTTCTAGTGACTGCCAAACTTCACTGCATGGTTTGTATATGTGTGTGTTTGCATTTAGTTGAAAGATAATATGTTCTTCAATGGCGGCGTGGATCTTTCTGAAATGAATCGCACCAACACCCCACCGGTCAGTGAACACAGTGCATCCCTTAGTTCATCCTCTTGCAATCGGTTTTCGTTGTTGTCTGGGGTGCGATTAATGTCTGAACAGTGTGTGCATGTCAACTGCTTTCTGCGCGAGGCGCTAGGCATGCGGACAGTGGACGGTCAGAAATCCAACCAACATAATTATAATCTTTATAATTTTTCGAAACTTTAAAAAAATCCAACCAACTAATTTCCGGACCGAGCGTACAGTAGTGGTCCCCGTTCCCAGGTGGTTTGATGTATCTTAAACTATCTTGTATGAATGCACATAACCCTGGGGGGGGGGGGGGGGGGCTTTCTAGGACTAATGAAAAGTGGTCCTGCTTTCGAGGTGGTCTAATGTACTTATTTTATTTGTGCATACGGGGAGGGGGGGTGGGGGGGGGGGCTCTGCGGGACAAGGAAAAAGTGTTCATATGTCTGCGCTGGTCGGAGACTGAGCTTCCTCTGGTCCGCACTGCATTGTGTAGTAGTTCAGTTGTCTTATGTTGCCACACGTGCACACACACACACACACACACACACACACACACACACACACACACACATACACATTTGACCTTTATTCTTTTGACGTCCCATCTCCAGTGGAGATGATAGGCTACTACTGAGTTGGGCAGTACTTGAGGTGACGCTTCAAATCACCAATTCTCCTAAACGTTCTGCCGCATGCGCAGCGGAATTCCCAGCGCACGCACACACACACACACACACACACACACACACACACACACACACACACACACACACACACACACTGACATACACACAAACACGCACACACATACACTCACTCACTCACACACGCACATACACTCACTCACTCACACACACACCATGTACCATGTACCATATATACGCCCGTCACAAGAGAAGCACGCAGATCTGCAAATGCACTGGATGTGCACGCACAGATTTTCTCTTTAGAGCAACGATAGCGGATCTGATTGTGATTGAAACAGATCAAGACAAGCGCCAGATAACTGTCTAATCTACACAACTGGCAAAGCCATATGAATTCCCCCCCCCCCCCCCCCCCCCCATGCACACCTGGTCTACACCACACGAAGTACATCGGAATAGGACGACCAAGACAGCTACTTATGCACACCCTACACTTGCTAGGGTAACCAGTATAGACAGCACATTGCTTTGATAAAAGCAGACACTAGATGCACTGGTACCTTGAAGTGAAATTGGAGTTATTTTACCAACCAGCCTCGGCAACTGGGTACTGGGAACCCAGGGCCAACAGACGTACCAACAACCTCAGCCATGAAAGCTATATAGTATCGACACACTGGATTGTGGAGCCGAAACTAGTCCAACTTCCAAAATGCTTTGGCAAGAGGGCAGCCTTCCGACAGGTTGGGGACACACACACACACACACACACGCACACAGCAGGCCTCTGCACTCCCTTATGTCGCACATGCACGCCAACTGTCCTCTGCCTTCTCCTGTACTCTCCAGGCTCTGACATCTCAGATGAAATCACTGCTGAAACTAGTGAGGAAAGGAACGTTATCGCCAACGGCTTCTGGAACAAGTACATCAGGAAGGTAAGCCTAAGGACATGGTAGAGAAGTACACTGACCTCGCATACGAAGTTGTCTGGCTGAGAAGTACCGAGTTCACTTCCCTTGTAGGTGCGTTATGCATGGCGAAACTTCAGTACGTTTTGCTGGCATTTCGCTGAGCTGGCTCGGTGGACGATGTGCAAAGTCTACGGTTTGTGATCCTGTCTGACCCGATTGTTAGCCGCTGGAAGTGTTGTGAAGCTTGTGCTCCGTGTGCGTGCATATGTGTGCGTCTGTGCGCGCGCGCGTGTGTGGGTGTGGGTGTGTGCGTGTGTACATGCATGCATGTGTGTTGCAGCTCAAAGTCGAGCAAAAAGCGTGGCTCAACATCAGGTGCCTCGAAGTCAAGGTAAAGCTACTTTGAGGATATTTATTTTGTACAACTTGGTCCCTTACATGTAGTAGTCAACAAGTTTATTCTTGGTGTGAGAGAAATGATTAATTTGGAAGGGCTTTGGCAGCGGAGCAGCAGAGCAAGGCTTTTGAATGTAATCATCAGTTCTATAAGGAGGCATGTTGCCGTAGAGTCTTCGCTGGGTTGGTTGGTTTCACGACTCTTGATTATGCAACTATCCAACAAGAAACTCTCTGTGGCAGTGGCAACTGAAAGCCTCTGCCTGTTGTTGTGTGTGTTTTGCACGTAAGCACACTCTTCGCCAAAGCCTTTGCTTTTGTATGACTTGTTCTTTTAAGGGTCAGTGTTAATGGGAGAGAGTAAGAGTTTTCCGCTTTCTGTCCTTCGTCCTCTGTGTGTGCTCTGTCTGCAGCCGGCCATCGAGTCGAGCCAACGCCAGTAGCGTATCGCCGCGGCCAAACACCACACCCTCGCCAGCCAATCCACCTCCGCCGCCGCCGCCGCCACCGTCAGCTGCTCCCCCACCGCCTGCTGCAGCAGCCGCCGTACGTCCTCCTCCATCCTCAGCCGGCCGCGGTGCGTTACTGGGCCAGATACACACGGGCGCACGGTTGAAGAAGACGGTCACGAACGATCGTAGTGCGCCGAAAGTCTGACCGGCGCTTTCGTCGCTCTCCGGTTGCCAGTGTCCGAATGCAGTGCTCTATGTTGGCCATCGGACTGCGCTGGCATGTTATGTTGGAGAGGTGGGTGTGTACGTGTGTGTGTGTGTGTGTGTGTGTGTGTGTGTGTGTGTGTGTGTGTGTGTGTGTGTGTGCGTGCATGTACGCGTATGCACCGCGTATGCCTGCATATGAGTGTGCGCCCGCACACAAGTGTAACGTTATTTTTGCTTTCGTATTCGCCATTTTACGGTGGCAGCCGCACTGTTCCATACTGGTGGTGGCCAGGCTAGGCTGTGTCTTGTCGTTCCAATACATGATCATACCTCGTGGCAATGCCCTGCCATCTAACCAGGGTCTCTGTGAGAAAACTGCATTTCTTGCAGTGAGGTCTCACCACCACCACAACGCTCCATATCTGATGTTGTCATCTCTGCTGCCCTGTGTGCACCCCCCCCCCCCCCAACCACCTCTGTTTCAGCTGGCCTGATCCACACACATTCTCTATCTAGGAAAATAATATGTTGGTCTATTCCACTACAGTGTCCTCTCTTTTTTAATTTAAATTCTATGAACAAAACCAGAGACCGACTATGAACAAAACCAGAGACCGACTGTGAACAAAACCAGAGACCCACTGTGGACCTGAATCGAACCGTATAGTTTATAGTTGTAGGCAAAATATTATTTCATGATTAGCCTAGTCTTGATTCGCTGATACCGGCAATGGTTATTGTCGGTGTATTGATCCATAGTTTGCTTGCTGTTCAACTTGTGAAAATATGACCCTATTTTGGAGATCTGTTATTTTCATGCTGGTCTCATGACCCACGGCTACTGGCCTGATTGTTATTTGTGCGCTTTTCGTGATTCCACTGCAGCTAGCTGCCTATAGCTGTGCTATTTAAATGTTGCTAGTGTTGTGATTATTCGTCTCGACTGGCATGCTCATGCTCTGACTGTGTGTGTGTGTCGTGACTCGACTGTGCGTGGTTGTGTGTGGTACATGCGACAGTGGAGGTGATCTGAGAAATGCAGAATAAAGTTATTGTCTGTATTCAAAAAAGAATTGGTGTCTCCACGTCAATAGACGGTATGCCGAATGACGTGCAACTAGACTTGGGAGGGCATTGCAGAGTAGTTGCATACAAAGTTCAAAGTTGTACGGGTACCTGTGACTTGTTTTCCTGCAGAGCTTGGGCCTCGGGGCTTTCCATGTACACATTGTAGTATAATTATTTGTATGCAACTTGTGTCCGATGCCCTCTCAAGTCTAGTTGCAAGTAAGTTTTGCAAGAGTCCATACCGGGTAATAGTCCATCGGCCAAATCTCAGAAAAGGCCTCTTTCGGAGAAGGTGATGCACTGAAGCTCCAAGTAAACGCCCTTTGGCACACTAGCTCATGAGACCCCATAGAATACGAATCCGATTGTTGGACGTTGCCAATCCAGTTCAGGATAGTCGAACTGGGTCGAATACCTTCTTCCGATTTTCGTAATTTCGTCCACCATTACATCTTTCTCATCGACTTTTTTTCGCGTGGCGAATGTTCTTGAGCCGCTGAGCAGAATCTACGCACGCTCGAACACTTGAAATGCCTGCATGTTGACGGTTTGCAAGATTCTAGCGAGCTTGGTGGAAATCTATTATTTATTTGGACATTTGTTGGGGAATCTGAATTACAATGTAGAACGGTAGAAGCTCATTCAGAGAAGACGGCGTGTCGCCGCTGTCGGATTGTCGCTACTGTGTTTCAGACGTATTTGCTTGAACGTGCTATTGTCTTTTATTGTATTGAGGATGGACAGAAGATGAAGTGACGGCTTTCTTGAACAACGACGTTTTGCCTACATTGTAGCTGAAACATCTCATCTGGCGTCTAGAACGCAATAATTATGAGTTGTGAGTGCCAGCTGAGCTGAACACAAGCTGGACACCATTCGTCAGCTGGGCATTTGCATCGAAGCTCTTGATAGCCACGATAAGCATAATTATACAGAGGTAACATTGTTTGACTCAATACGCATGCAGGTGATACCACTAGTGGCACTACAATGTAAATGGTGCAACTTGAAATTGATGCAACAGCGAATATGTACTTCGTACAATCACGAACAATTGTAAGGCAAGTGTTCATGCCTGTCATAGAAGAATTTCAGCCCGGAATACTTGTTGTCATGGTCATAAATAATACAGGACTTGAGTTGGCTCTGGACATAAACACACTTGTGGTGAATACGGTCATTTTTGCGAGAAAAATATTTAGCCATTGTATATTAACACCTGATGCCGCACTACAAGCAATATTTCATGTACATGTATGTGAGACTCAATTGCATCCACAAGGCTGTAGATGCATGTAAGCACACAATACTGTACAGTATAAGTAGTAGTCGACATGTGGTGCCTTCCTGCTGCACATGCACATGCGGCAAGTTGGCAACGACGCATGACCTATCCGCACCGCACAGCGTGAGCTTAGAAAGGAATATTGCACACATAGTGCTATTTGTGTTCCGATATCGTTAAAGGGGAAGTTAAGGCAAAAATTAAAATTTCACCAGTTGTAGTCTTCGGGGTGCTGAGTCGAATGGTCTTGGTCCGAGGAAGCTGAGACGCTCCCTTCCTACTTGAATCCCAATCGAACTCGCGCACTTCCACCGAAACTGGGTGACTGCGCCCTACGAGATGGGGATTTGTATGCAAAATGTCACTAAAAGCGCCATTTCGTTCTTATAAAAGCACGGATGACCGCGATTGGCCCATATGTTGTAGTCTTTGGGACGCTGAGTCGACTGGTTTTGGTCCGAAAAGGCTGCGATGCAGCGTTCCTCCTTTATTCCCAATCGAACATGGTTGAAGAAGCGGTCACGTGGTCCTGGGTGCCCAAATCACCTGGTCACCACGCCAGCAGGTGACAACTTTCACACCAGGGTTCAACTCGGGTTCAACTCGAGTGACAGGACTGCACCCAAAAAAGGTCAAACAGGCTAGTAAGTTGTACCCTGCAGGCACGGTGACCAGGTGACTGGTGTACGCAGGAGCACGTGACCGCTTGTTCAACCATGTTCGATTGGGAATAAAGGAGGAACGCCGCATCGCAGCCTTTTCGGACCAAAACCAGTCGACTCAGCGTCCCAAAGACTACAACATATGGGCCAATCACGGTCATCCGTGCTTTTATAAGAACGAAATGGCGCTTTTAGTGACATTTTGCATACAAATCCCCATCTCGTAGGGCGCAGTCACCCAGTTTCGGTGGAAGTGCGCGAGTTCGATTGGGATTCAAGTAGGAAGGGAGCGTCTCAGCTTCCTCGGACCAAGACCATTCGACTCAGCACCCCGAAGACTACAACTGGTGAAATTTTAATTTTTGCCTTAACTTCCCCTTTAAGCCGGTATACATGTACTAGTATCCTTATACAGTGGATATCGGTTATAAAGTCATCGGACATAGTGATACACCGGCTATATTGATACAAAATGAAAATATCAAAAGCAAAACCAGAAAAAGAAATTATCATTATAACCAATTATTGAATATATCGTATATAGCGATAAATCGGCTATAAGGATACAGAATCACCATTCAAAACACCACTTTGCGCAGAAAAATTATCGTCTATAGTGATAGCAACACACAAGTGTGAGGCATTGATGTCTCGACTTGGAGCCACATGTGTGTTGTCATAGGGTATTCTGGTCTGGTGCTTCCTGGATGATGCCTTTGGGCCAAGAAATTCTTCACTCTATACTGGAGAAGGTGCAGTAGCATCCATCACGTATCAGTACGCTACATTAGCACGATCGAGTACCCACACGTGTATAATGTGTATGTGTGACGCGCGCAGTTGAAAATCGCCTGTAGTGATATACCGGTTATAGTGATAAAATGTGAAAAATATGAAGGGCACGTTATAACCAATATCTACTGTACATGTACCTGGTCACTCGATAGGCGATGCTGACTGTACTAATCTTATCCATATTACCCGATAGGCTATAGCACACTGCGTCAGATCACTATGCAACAAAACAAGAGCTTTGGAGCGAATATAAACTGAAGCAAAGTAGGTTTCAACGGCACAGCACTAGTCACAATGAGGGGAGTTACGAGGATGGTTGGGCCGTGAGTCCGTGACACATAGATGATGATTGTTAATGATTCATGAATGGTGGAAAAATACCACCAATGGCGATGATATTGCTTTCACAACAATGACATCAGTAGGAGCAGTGACACAACCTTACTGCTCCAAGTAGGATTTACAAGCGAGTGAAGGGAGGACAGACTGGTCTAATAGCAGACCGGGTCTAAGCAAGGAAGTAATAGGCATCAGAGGTGAGCTTGCACATCAGAAAACAAAATTTAATGATGATCACCAAACACAGAGAAGTTGACTACATGTGTATGTTTGTGTCACTGTGTGTGCATGTGCGTGTGTCTGCATGTGCGTTTGTGTGTGTATGCGCTCACATCTGTGTGTGAGAGAGAGGCAGACAGACAGATAGCATATGGTGGGAGGGATCAAGGTCTGACCTCAGAGTTAAATGCTGACGGTGTCACTGTGGAATACCAACAGTGCGAAATCGGGCAAGGTGGTTAATGGCCCACACTGGAGCCGAGTAGGAGCGCCAGTGGTTGAGGGCTAGCACAGGAGTAGCAGCAGCTCCAACCTAGGAAGATCAGCTTCTGGATGAAAATCTCCCGGACACAGTAGGTACCAAGCTTCACTAGCAGATTGCCGGCAGGGGCGCACGGCGAGCACTCATACATCCCTCAAGCCACCAGAGCCGCAGTACTTGGACACGATCCAGGTGCTTACCCGCCAACAATGCTGAGAAGGCACTAGAGCCATACAGGAACTTATGATCGAGCATGACCACAGACTTGAAATACAGGGTCCGGCTTTGAATACTGAGACATCGACGTCTCCTCCACAGAACACCACTCAGCCCCTCCATTGCATTATTTTGCTTTTTTTTTTTTTTTTTTTTTTTTTACAATAGGGCTTGAAAGTGCTACGTCACAGCATAGCAACAATTTCAAAAATTCAAAAATTGGATCCACTTGGATCCAGTTTTTGTATGGATCCAAGCACATTTCAAGCGGTCTTACCCACAGCATGGTGATGTAGCCAGTGAAACTGACTGATTTGGCTACTGGGGGCGGGGTTACAACTGCATGGTGGCGAAATAAAAGTCACACCTGCATGCGACATGAGTGGGTTGCTATGCACCCACATACTTAGGCAATAGCAAAGTCACACCTTAGTGGATCCAAAAATAGAAATCTGATGCCAACTTACTACTCCCTGGCCGTTTTGACGTCATCACTTTCAAGACCCTTTGCAGCGAGAGGGCCAGGGCCCAGCCTAGGCCCTACCTAGGGGTCGAGACGGGTACCGGGTACGGGGCATGCTGTGCACGCGCTGCACACTTGGCATGCAACCAGCATGCGTGGTTTGCTGCAGGACGTGATCAAGTTTCCTGTGACAGGCTGTGTTTTCACGGTCCCGACGCGATGTTCATGTATGTACTCCGCAGCCTTTTTTCATTTGAAGTTTTTTAGTTCTGAAGGAAGAAGTTCCGAAACGCTTTCCAAGGACCACTGTTGGGTTCTTGTTTGCAGCAACCGTCATCCCTAACGTTAGTCTAAGGAACCCACTTGTCTTTCCATGCGTTCCCTGGTGATGCTGGCATTCCACACTCTGGAATCCTGGCTATCTGGCGAGAAGAGGGCCGCAGTGCTGCGATATCGTTCCCAGTGTTGTGCTCGGAACACTTTATCCATGACGACTTTCATCCGACCTTGCTTTTGCGAAGATATGGAACGCCCTGCCAAGAGACTCTGGAGCTTGAGAAAAAGGCATGACCCATCCCTGTCTTCGTTATTGGAAGATCGACTGCTTGCTGGCGCTGCTCG